CCCCAGAAAAGCCAAGATCCCGAGAACTAAAGCCAAAGAAGGTCTGGGGGGCGTGGCTCAAAGGTAGAGCTGCTGGCCGGCCCTGAGTTCAAATCCTAGTGAGGCAAGAAACAACAAAAAACAAAAAAACAAAAAAAAACCTTAGAAACCACGTTCACCCGGAGCTCACCAGAAAACGGCAGAAGGACCCCGGAGGCTGTTCTGCACCGACCTCAAACCGCGGCTATTCGGTCCCTTCAGGAAAACAATTAACAAAAGGTTACTTAAGACCAGGTGTAGGGGAGGAGGGACGCACGGCGGGCGAGAACCCCCCGCGCATGCGCACATCGCGCCGCGCCGCGGCCCAACCCTGGCTCCTCGCTGGGAACCCAGGCCCTGGAGAGCGCCGGAGCGGGAAGGACCCGGATGTCGGGGGCCTAACGTACCGAGCCTAAGAACGCTCGTTCTGAGTGAACCCCGTTATCCGTCGCACACATCTTCCATCCCCCATCTTAATCACAAGGTTCTCACCCGAAGCCGCCCCAGACTGGATAAGCACCGAAAAAGAAAAATAAATTAAAAAATTAAAAATAGCAGTAAGGGGGTTGCGGAGGGGCGGGGGGGGGGGGAGAGGAAGCGTTGGTGACGTCACTTCCGCTCACCACAGAATGAATCCGGGCTGCAACCCGCCTAAGGGCAGCGAGTTTGGACCGCCTCTGGAGAGAAGTCATTGGTTCCTACTGGGAGGGGACCGGTGTTCCACGGAGGCTTCTCCGTGAGTGGGCTGCCCGCGGAGCCCCACACACACGGCAGGCTGAGCTTAGAGCGAGGACGCTCCAGACCTAGTGCATGGATCCTAGAACAGAAAGGCAGGCGTTGGGGTGGGATCACCCCTAGGATGCAAACAAAAACCTCTCTCCAGTGCTCTGCATTTTTCAGCCTGTGATTTTTTTCTTTTTTTGTGGTTGTCATGGATGTTAATCTATGAAATGGTCTATCTTCTACATTCAATCACGATGTTGATTTTTTTGTCTTTCGTGGGTCTTGAACTCGGCCTGGGCGCTGTCCCTCAGCTCTTCAGCTGGAGGCTAGCGCTCTACCACTTGAGCTACAGCGCTACTTCCGGCTTTTTTTCTGCTTCTGTGGTGCTGAGGAATCGAACCCAGGGTCTCATGCATGCGAGGCAAGCACTCTGCCACTGAGCCACCTTCCCACCCTGACTCCTTTTTGTCCCGCTTCCGGAGCTGGGATGGAACCCAGAGCCTCCTGCCTAAGCTCAACGCTGAGCCACAGCCCCAACTCATTTCTTCAGCCCTAATGCTTGCTCCTTTCATTTCTCAATACTTTTGTGTGTTTTACAAGCCAACTTTTTCAAGTTCTTTTTTTTTTTTACTTTTCTTTTTTGATACTTTTTTTTTCTAGTACTCATGTTTGTTGTGATTTCAGGTGCCTGGCCTTTTCAGGGGTTCAATAAATTTATACCAGCCGGGAGCCAGTCGTTCACGCCTGTCATCCTAGCTACTCAGTAGGCTGAGATCTGAGGACCACGGGTTCAAAGCCAGCCTGGGCAGGAAAGTCCGTGAGACTCTTCTCTCCAATAAAACCACTAAAAAACCGGAAGTAGTGCTGTTGCTCAAGAGGTAGAGCACTCACCTTGAGCTGAAGAGCTGAGGGACAGTGCCGAAGCCCAGAGTTCAAGCCCTACGACCGAGCAAAAAAAAAAAGTCAATAGCACATTTTATCGAGAACTGTTCACGATATCAAGTGTTTTACACAACTGTCAAGATCTTGTCTTGCTTTTTTTTTCTTTGATGTACAATATATCATTATTCTGTAGCTACTTAAAGCTTCTTCTGGTTTCCAACTTTGCTTAAAGCTTTTTTCAGCTAGGCAGCAGTAGCTCACTCCTATAATCCTAGCTACTCAGGAGGCTGAGATTTGAGGATCGTGGAAGAAAGTTGGTGAGTCTCTTATCTCCAATTAACCACCAAAAAAACATAAGTACAGCTGTGGCTCATGTGACAGAGACAGCACCAGACCTTGAGTTCAAGCCCCAGAACTGGCACCAAAAAAATAAGCTATCTTCAGGTAAAACAGGTTCTGATGGGGGAGATCAGCTACCAGTGGGGGAAGGGAGCGACCAGTTAAGAGAGAATGAGGTTGAATATAGTCAAGTTTATTTGCATATATGAAAATAGAACAATAGAAACTGTTGAAACTTTTAAGAAAGGGGAGAGGAATGAGGGAGCATCACAAAGGAAGGAGAGTGGATCCAAATACATTATTGACATATTTGGAAATATCATAACTAGCTAGCTAGTAGCTCCCACCTATCCTAGCTACTCTGGAGCTGAGATCTGAGAATTGCAGTTTTGTTTTTTGTGTTTTGTCAGTCACGGGTCTTGAATTCTGGACCTGGGCACTGTCCTTCAGCTCTTCAGCTCAAGGCAAGCGCTCTACCACTTGAGGAACAGCGCTACTTCCAGTTTTCTGGTGGTTAACTGAGATGAGTCTCACAGAGATTCCTCCCCAGGCTGGCTTTAAATGACAATCCTCCAGATCTCAGCCTCCTGAGTAGCTAGGAATACAGGTGTGAGCCTCCGGTGCCCAGCAGGATTGCTGTTTAAAACCAGCCTGGGGAGGACTCATCTCTTGTTAATCAGGAAAAAGTCAGAGTTGGATCTGTCTCTCAAGAAGGAGAGTATCAGCTTTGAGTAAGAAAATGTAAAGGACGACACCCAGGAACTGAGCTCAAGCCCCATCATTGGCACAGGAAAAAAAAAAAGTAATGAGTGTTATATTCCCAGTGGCCTCATACTCCTGCTAGGAAACTCCAATTCCTGCTCAGGAAACAATAAAATCACAATATAATTACCTTGCATAGACAAAAGCTTCGATGTAAACTTTGAGAATTTCCATGACATACAATAATACAGGATTTTATGATGAAGAAAAAAATTCTTGGGCTGGGAATGTGGCTTACTGGTAGCATGCTTGCCTAGCACACATGAAGCCCTAGATTCAATTCGTCAGTACCACATACACGGAAAAAGCCAGAAGGGCACTGTGGCTCGAGTGGTACAGTGCAGCCTTGAGCAAAAAAAGCTCAGGGACATTGCCCAGGCCCTAGGTTTAAGCCCCAGGACTGGCAAAAAGAAAAATTGTGCTGAAGCCTGAATTCAAGGCCTGGGCTCTGTCCTTGAGTTTGTTTCTATGCTCAAGGATAGTGCTCTACCACTTGACCCACAGGCTCGACTTCCAGCTTCTTTAGTGGTGAATTAGAGATAAGAGACCCATGGACTTTCCTGCCCCAGCTGGCTTCAAACTTTGATCCTAAGATCTCGGCCTCCAAAGTAGCTAGGATTACAGGCACGAGCCACCAGTGCCTGCCCAAATATTTCTAATACTTAATCTACCATTTTGACAGTGCACCAATATGGTTATCAAAAGCTTTACATGTCATTATGAATATATTGGTTGTTTTTTTTTAAGGAAGGCATTTCTAAAAACTTTTCTAGGGATTCACATCTGTTATATGTGTGCTGTATGTGCAAACACAGCTACATAGGTGTATTGGGCCTGAACTCAGGGCTTCTTGCTCTCACATAGCCATTTTTCACAAGGTGGATGCCCCACCTGTCTTTTTTGCTTGTCAATTGGAAATAAGAGTCTCAAGGATTTGTCTGCCCTCACTGTTTTGAACCATGATCTCAACCTCCTGAGTAGCTAGGATTACAGACATGAGCCACCAGGGCCCAGCTTCAGGTGAGTATTCTTTGGAGAGGTACTTGGTACTCTTCCAACAGGCTTAATGAAGGGGTCATGTAGCAATCTCTGCAGGTTATCATCTAGGGTGCAGTCAGCCTTGAACTGTGGGCAGTAACTCCTATACCTGAAAGAACTGAATGAGTCCCAACACATTCTTCCAGAAACCATGATCCCAAATCCCAATAAACACCTTTGCAGCCATGTGTGGAGAAAGAAAATAAGCTGAATACAGTGGCTCCTACTTGTAGTCTCAGCTTTTTGGGAGCCTGAATTTAGAAAGGATAGCCATTTGATACAGGATGGTACAAAACAGCTAATGAGACCCCATCTTAGTCAATAAGCCAAGCAAGGTAATTCATACCTGTGGTTCCATATGCTACAGCTAGAACTACAGTCTGAGGCCGGTCCTGTGCAAAAAACCCAAGGCCTTTTCTGAAAAATAACCTAAGCAAAAAGGGCTGGTGTGGCTCCAGTTATAAAATACCTGCTTAGCAAGCCACAGTACCCTTAAGTGAAACCTCAGTACCTTTTCACAGAAAAATCTAGGTACCAGCCGGGTGCCAGTAGCTCACGCCTGTAATCCTAGCTACTCAGAAGGCTGAGATCTGAGGATCGTTGTTGAAAGCCAGCCTGGGCAAGAAAGTCCGTGAAATTCTTATCTCTAATAAACCACCAGAAAACAGGAAGTGGCGCTGTAGCACAAGTGGTAGAGCGCTAGCTTTGAGCTGAAGAGCTGAGGGACAGCGCCAGCCCTGAGTTCAAACCCCACAACTGACCAAAAAAAAAAATCTAGGTACCAAACCAGACACTGTATGATAAATAAGACCCAAAGAACAAAGGTTTTAGGGTAATGGAGTGCATAAATTCCCAAGACTTGGGGGGTTGGGAGGAAGGGTACCTAGATCTGAAGATAGAGAGCTACTGCCTAGGCAAGCCAAGTTCAAAACCCACTAATGAAAAAAAAAAAACCAACTGGGAAGTTGGCTCAGTGGTAGAGCACTTGCCTTGCATGCCTGAGGCCCTGGGTTCAATTCCTCAGCACCACATAAGCACAAAGAAAAAACCTAGAAGTGGCGCCTCAAGTGGTACAGCGCTAGCCTTGAGCTGAAGAGCTGAGGGACAGCGCCCAGGCCCAGAGTTCAGGCCCCATGACCGGACCCAAAAAAGAAAAAAGAAAAAAAAATCCAGACAAGATAATGCAGAGCTGATCCAGTCACAACAAAGCTGAGATTGAAAGCACACCAAGACTAAAGTCCATTCAAATTCATCACATTTTAATTAGGAACTACAAATTCCATCAAGTGTGTTAAGCTTAGTGTGTATTTTGACATTATTGTGTTAATGCAATATGGGATTATAACTTCGAAATCATTGAGGCAGGCCACCTTAAGCTACCCAGTAAAACCCTGTCTAAAAGACATAATATATCTGATCCTGGCCTCGGCCAGGATGAGAAAATGCTAGGGTCTAACAACCTTTCATCATGTCTTCTATAAAGACAAACCTCGTGATGTCCCCGTGCTTGTGGATGAGTTATTCTGTAGTACAAGTCTACAAGGTCTGTTCGGCCTAAAGTCTAGTTCAAGTCCATTTTTTACTTGGTCTTGCTAAAGTGTCTCCTACTCTTGTTCTTCTATACTTGTTACTTCACCTTACAGATATGTTAATATCTGCTTTCTACACTTGAGTATTCTATATTTTGGTTCATATATATATACAAATAGATTTCTTTGGGGGTGGGAGAGAGGTACTGAATTTGAATTCAGGGCCTTATGTTTGCTAGACAACTGTTTTACCACTTGAGCCAGACCCCTGGCCCTTTTTCACTTTTGTTATTTTTCAGAGAGGGTCTCACATTTTTCTGACCATGCAATCCTCCTATTCTTCTACGTAACTGGAATTAAAGGCATGAGCCACAATCCCTGGCTTATTGGTTGAGATGGGTTCTTGCTAACTTGGGGATTGTGCTGGCCTGAACTCCAGTCCTCCCATCTCTGCCTGCCAAGTACCTGGAACTACAAGCATGAGCTACCATATCCAGCTGAATCCATACACATTTATAACTGTTACATTTTGTTGACATGACCACTGTGTCACCTTTCATCTTTCCCTCCATTTTCAGGTTGTTCTTGGGAAAAAAAATCTAAAGACTGAATAAATTGAAATCCCATGCTGGGCCTACTATCAAGTGTGGAGACCTGATTTCAAACCCTAGTATCTCTAAAGAAAAATGACAACTACCCTACAGAAAGAAACCCCTTTCTGAGTTTCGAACTGAAGACATAAAACCACTGTTCATACTGCTACACCCATAGCAGCAGTATGAAAACCACCTAAGTACTCCTTGACAGAACAATGAATAATAATAATAATAATACGTGGTCTTCAACAAAATAGCCAGAGAAGAAGAAAGCCTGTCATTTGCCATAACACAGTTCAAGCTCAAAGACATTATATTAATTCAAATAAGCTAGATACAATAAGACATAGATCTCTGAGAACCTGGTGGGATTTACAACAGAGACTAAACAAAGTCTTCCAGGGTCTTGGGAGGGACGGGCGTGATGGGAGAAAGGGTACGAATGACACTGGTCAAAGATAGCTGTGAAATATTAAGGTGTCAATTACAACATGGGGAGCTGAGTTAATGCCAGGGCAGCACAAAGTGCTCCATGAGACCACAAAGAAACAGACAATGTGGGGCACAGACACCCGGAGATCCTATGTCATCGCTTCACAATGTCTAAGGACCTGCTACCACGGGGGGGGGGTGGTCCTAGATAAAAACAAGTTTCCAATCCTCTCAAATAGGGAAATTTTAAAAAGGAAAGCTCCAGTGAAAACTAGAAATGTAGAAGGAGGTCATAAAAATACACAAATCTAGAAATACTTGAAATATTTAAAAATTTATCTGTAGAACCACCTAGAAGGCCATGTCCTCTGTCATACCAGATTTCAAGACACAGTGACGCCAAGCCCATATTATGAACGGGTACTTTCTGTTCAGTGTGAAGCACCACTCAGTCAAAGGGACAAGTGAAGTCTCAAATCCCATCAAGCTTCTGTCCACTGTGAGACACTGGGTGAGAATGGCGTTTTCTATGCCTGCATCAGTAAGTTCTCTTTGCACTACCTCCCGGATCTAGTAAAGACTTGCATGAGGACTAACACTTCACCTGTTTCCAGTGAGAGCAGGATGACTCAAGCACAATCCCTAGATTCATGGAGTACTGACAGTTTTCATGTCTTAGAAGCAAAAAGCAACAACTGATTGCTTTTATATATATTGCTAATAGACCTAAGAGTCCTTAAGACTGTCAGTTCAATCTCAATTACAAAGAAAAGGGAGGATGGCTTCCCCTCACCTCTCACCCCGCCCCCCAAAAGAAAACAAAAACCCACAAGACTTTCTGACGGCCTTCCATTCAAAGGGCTTCTTCTCTCCAGGAAGGATTCTCCTGTTCATTTGCAGCAGGATCAGCGAAGGCTGGCTCACAGTCCTTGTAGTCATAGGGTTTCTCTCCAGTATGTTTTCGCACATGCTTATTAAGGCCTGAGTGCTCGGTAAAGGCTTTTCCACAGTACTGACACACATAGGGCTTCTCTCCGGTGTGGATGCGCATGTGCACACGCAGGTAGGAGGACCACAGGAACGACTTGCCACATATCATGCACTGGAAGGGCTTCTCGCCAGTGTGCGTGCGCATGTGGACGGGCAGGTACGAGGAGCACGTAAACGTCTTCCCACACACAGTGCACTGGAAGGGCTTCTCCCCCGTGTGGATTTTCAAATGCACATTGAGATAGGAGGAGGAGGCAAAGGCCTTCCCGCAGTGGTCACACTCGAAGGGCTTCTCTCCCTTGTGACTTCGGATGTGTGCGATGAGGCCTGAGGACGTGGTAAAGGCTTTGCCACACTCCTGGCACGCGTAGGACTTCTCCCCCGTGTGATTCCGTAAGTGGATCGTAAGGCCAGAGCGAGCCGTGAAGGCTTTCCCACAGTAACTGCATTTGTAGGGTTTGACTCCAGTGTGAATTCTAAAGTGGGTCTCCAGGGATGAGGAGTTACGGAAGGACTTGGTGCACACCTTACACTGAAAGGGCCTCTCGTTGCTGTGGGTTTTGATGTGCACAGTGAGCTGGGCAAAGCTGGTGAAACCCTTCCCACACTCCTTACATTCATAGGGCCTCTCGCCAGTGTGTGTCCTGATGTGCTTGGTAAGGCACGAGCGCTCGGGGAAGGTTTTCCCGCACTCCTTGCACTCGTAGGGCTTCTCGCCTGTGTGCGTGCGCATGTGGATGCGCAGGTAGGACGAGCGCGTGAACGTTTTCTCGCACAGGGTGCACTCGAAGGGCTTCTCCCCGGTGTGGGTCCGCAAGTGGGCTACCAGAGACGACGAGTGGGCCAAGGCCTTCCCACACTGGTAACACTCGAAGGGCTTTTCGCCTGTGTGGATCCGGATGTGCTCCACGAGGCCCGAGGACGTGCCAAAGGCCTTGCCGCACTCCTTGCACTCGTAGGGCTTCTCGCCATTGTGGATGAGGACGTGCTTGGTGAGGCCCGAGCGCGCCGTGAAGTCCTTCCCACAGTAAGTGCACTTGTACGGTTTTATCCCGGTGTGGATCCGAAAGTGGGTCTTAAGGCAGGAGGAATTGCGGAAGGTCCTCGCACACACCTTACAGCGGAAGGGCTTCTCACCCGTGTGAGTCTTGATGTGCTCCGTGAGCTGGGCGAAGCTGGTGAAGGCCTTATCACACTCAGGGCAGGGGTAGGGCCTCTCTCCCGTGTGCTTGCGCAAGTGGATGGTGAGCCACGAGCGCCCGCTGAACGCCTTCCCGCACACTTTACACTCATACGGCTTCTCTCCGGTGTGAGTTCGAATGTGCCCCAGCAGGTAGGAGGAGCGCGTGAAGGCCTTCCCGCACACATGACACTCGAAGGGCTTCTCTCCCGTGTGCGTGCGCAAGTGGGTAGTGAGGTACGAGGAGGACGCAAAGGCATTCCCACACTGCTCGCACTGAAAGGGCTTCTCCCCCGTGTGGCTTCTCATGTGCTCGGTGAGGCGCGAGGGCTGGATAAACGCTTTGCCACACTCCTTGCACTCGTACGACTTCTCGCGCGTGTGTTGCCGTAGGTGGACAATGAGGCCCGAGCGCTCAGGGAAGGCTTTTCCACACTCCTTACAATCATAGGGCTTCTCCACGGGGTGGCTTTGCATATGGATATTCAGGTAGATGGGATGTGTGAAGAACTTGTCGCATTTCTTACATTCATAGTATTTCTTTCCAGTGGGCGGCTGACCACATCCATCGTGGCTTGTGCGGCGAGTTAAAGCTTGCCCACATTCCTCGGATTTGCAGACATTTTCTCCATCGTGCATTTTCCTATGGGCCTCGAGGTGTGACTCATCACCAAAGGCCTCCCCACAATCGCTGCACTCAAAGAATTTATCCAGAGGGAGCACGGCCCCGTTTACACTCTGGGACCCCAGAGAAAGTTTCTCTTCAGCAGACCTCTCCTTGAGCGGCAAGAAGGCTTTCCCACACCGACCACACTCTGAAGTGTGCTCTGTATTTGCACTACTCGTGTGTGTCTGAAGATCTGAGTGTTCACCAAAGACTTTTCCAGCTTGCTTAGAGTCACAGAGCTCCCCTCCACTGTGGCTTCCTGCCTGCTTGTAATAAAGGGACGAATGAATGATGGTTAAAGGATTTTCCAGACCCATACAGAACTGGGTACTTGGGGTGATTCACACTAGGTTTGGGGCATCTTTCCATGGAAACTGTTCCCCTGAATCAGTGTTTAGAATCCCAGCCCTCAGAGGTTGAGTCAATAATCACAAAAGTTCCCAACCAGCTGGGTGCCATTGGCTCCTTCCCATAATCCTAGCTACTCAGGAGACTGAAATCTGAGGATTACGTTAGAAGGCAAAACAAGGCAGGAAAGTTCTTGAGACTCTTAGCTCCAATTACCCACCAGAAAACTAGCAGTAGTGCTGTGGCTCAAGTGGCAGAGCACTCGCCTTGAGGTGAAGAACTCAGGGATAGCACCCAGGCCCAGAGTTCAAGCCCTACAACTGACAAAAAAAAAAGGAAAAGGAAAAGTTCCATGCCAGCCCGGGCTACATAGAAATTGAGAAATTACAAGGTCAGACAAGGTTATAAAGCAAGGAAGGAACAAAGTGGGAAAGGACTACTTTGTTCAAATTATCTTTCATACTGATTTCTACTAGGGAATTCCCAGTCTTCCATGAACTTGGAAATTAAGAAGAGAACACTTGTGAATCTTACCAGTAGTTTCCTATTTGATGCATCGGACCAAACGATATCTCGTTCAACTGCTGTACCTTTGGTTTTAAGATGCATTTCCCATTCTGTAATGAAATACAAAAATATGTCTAAGGGGCCGGGCGCCAGTGGCTCACACCTATAACCCTAGCTACTCAGGAGGCTGAGATCTGAGGATTGCTGTTCAAAGCCAGCCTGAGCAGGTACCTTTGTGAGACTCTTATCTTCAATTAACCACCAGAAAACCGGAAGTGGTGCTGTGGCTCAAGTGGTAGAGACCTAGTCTTGAGATGAAGAGCTGAGGGACAGCACCCAGGCCGAGTTCAAGCCCCACGACTGACCAAATTAAAAAAAAAAAAAAAAGACAAAACTCAATTCTGTGTTCTTACTAAAAATGCTAAATAATAATATAAGGATAGTCTCACACAGTTTGCCTACATCTAAAACTGGCCATCATGAGACTATGGGATCAAAGTAAGTTTATTAACAAATTTCCTATGACAGTGAACTGTAATGGTAAATCAGCTGCACAAAGAGAACCATAAACTCCAAGTGGAAGAGAAGAGGCCACTGCTGAGATCACAGAAAAGGCAGCCTAGAGTGGGGAGTTGAAGACATCCCATAATCAGTCCAATGACCTCAGCCTTCATTCACGTTGAGCTTTAAAAGATTTCAAACACACTACCAATGTCCAAGTCTTTCACAAATGCTTACCTTGGAGAATGCCTTGCTCCACTACGGTCAACTCCACTTTTTCCTCCAACCAAGAGATCAGGCTGGGTTTGAACAGCTGACCTCCTATATACAGAGAAATTTGAATCAGTGGGTGAGACAGAAAGCTATCTAAGGAGGGATAAGAATGATTCCTATGCAGCTCAAAATACAAATATTCATGCTTTAGTGTCATGAACAGATTCCTTTTCTCTGACTCAAGAAACCCATGTCCAAGGCTTAAACTTCTATTTACTCACTCCTATTTACATGGGTGTAATACACCCATAGTCTTAGTCATTTACTAATAGTGTTATTTTAAAGAACCAATGCCCACCAGTACTTTTCTTCTATTAAGTAGTAAGTGAAGTCACTTTTTTTTTTAAATCACAAATATTAGGCAAGCACTCTTTCAATGAGTCATATTACCAGCCTAAGTTTTCAATCTTAAAGGGAAAAACAACAACCCTGGTTCTGATCTTGAGTGAAACAGATCCACATGGAAAAATTAGTAAAAACATGGACAGAATTTCCGAGTGCGTATTTGTAACACAGCACAAGTGATGTACATGGTTCTGGAAGCATGGTTAGTTGAGAACCACTGTAACAGGTGGCACTGCTAGGGAATCTGTTATTTCCACCTGTATTCTGAGCAGACATCACTAATGCTGGGACATTTCTACTCTCTCCAGGGCTGCAGGGAAAGGTGCAGCCCTACCCACTGTGGCCAGGTTCCGGTAATTCTCCAGCATCACATCTCTGTACAGGCTTCTCTGCGTCGGGTCCAAGGACATCCACTCCTCCGGGGTGAAGTCCACAGCCACATCCTCAAAGGTCACTGAGCCCTGTATGAACCCAGACATGCCAATTTAAACAAAGTAGCGTCTCCACCAATAATTACTGAAGGAGAAGGAAAGGACACCAATGCCTATCAAGGATGTCCTAGAACATCACTCTCTCTGCACACTCACTCACTATGGTCTCCTCCAACCCATGACCTTTGGCATCTCTTACAGGCCAACATAACTTTGGCCTATTTTCCCCTATAATGAGCACACTCCTGAGCACAGTGAGAACTGTTCAGAAATGACAACACATGAACACACCCTGTGGGAAAAAATAATTTTGATCTTGCTTGAACACCAAGAAAAACAAACAGCTAACTGGCATTGGGGAATTTAAGACTCCCATAACTCCTAGAATACTGACATATTTTCCACTCCCTCAATAACATGTGATGTGTGCCATTTTCTGGAAATTCAACCAGAGATTCAGCCTTGGCATGGGTCTTTTTCAGTTCTAACCAGTTTGAGACAGATATCTACAAGAAAATATGGACCTGGCTTATAGGTTTAACTACTCCATATGAAAGGATAACATGTTTCACATTAACTTTGGACACTCCTACATTCTTCATTGATAGAATGAATCTTCAGAGACTTTGTTCCATGCCCTCAAATGTGAAACCTATTTCTCCAAAATACCTCTCCATGTCCTAAACAGAATCCTTAATTTTGCCTCAATATATAAAACAGAAAATATACTTTGCTAAACTTACCCTTTGTGTACCTCTACAGGTATGGCCGGTAAAAAAGTCTGGCTGAAGCACTAAATCTTTGGTTTGTAGTTGCATTTCCAACTCTGAAATTAAACCCCAAAAAAAAAAAAAAAAACAATATTAAATAATTTATGTCTAAAGAACAAAATGGGAGGACTATAGGGAGCAGCCTTATGATTATAAAAGGGGCACTATTTGGGGGTGGGGAAACAAGTAGGAGTGGGAGGAGAGAGGGAGGAAAAAGGAGAGTATGATAGCGGAAAATATGTTATAGTTATGTATAAAAATAGCATAATGAGCCAGGGCCAGGTATGGCCCACACCTATAATCCTAGCTATTCAGGAGGCTGAGATCTGAGAATCTGCCCTACCTGAGCAGGAAAGTCCCTATGGGATTCTTCTCTCCAATGAACCACTCAAAAACCTGAAGTAGGGCTACAGCTCAAAGTGAAAGAATGCTAGCCTAGCTCAGGGACAGTACTCAGGTCATGAGCTCAAACCCCATGACCAACCAGGAAAAAAAAAAAGATAATGAAACAAACCCACAAAGAACTGTTAAAGGAGGCCAAGGAAGAGGGCTAAGAAGTAATATAGGATGAGCACTGATGGCCCATGCCTGTAATCCTAGCTACTCCAGAGGCTGAGATCTGAGGATCACGGTTTGAAGCCAGCCCAGGCAGGTAAGTCGATGAGACCCTCATCTCCAATAAACTACTCAGAAAAAGTGGGAAGTGGCGCTGTGGCTCAGGTGGCAAAGCTCTGGCCTTAAGCAAAAACAAATTCAAGGACAGTGTCTAAGCCCAGAGTTCAAGTGTAGTGAATCTGTGCGTAAATATCATATGAAACGCCTTTCTTCAAATAATTTGGGCTAATCATAATTCAAAGAATTTGCAAAGAATTGCAAAGCTAGCCTGGGCAGGAAAGTCCATGAGACTCTTAGGGCTCATGTGGCAGAGCGCACTAGCCTTGAGCACAAAAAGGCTCAGGGGCAGTACCTAGGCCCTTAGATCAAGCCCCAGGACAGGCAAAAAAAAAAAAAAAGGCTTGGTGCAGTGTTTCCCATTTATAATTCTAGCTACTACAGAGGCAGAGATCAGGAAAATACAGTTCAAGGAAAGTTCAGACAAAAAGCTTGCAGACTCCATTTCAATCTGGGTATGGCATCCTAGACATATGGAAGCATAAATGAATAGGAATGAGGTCCAGACTGGTCTGGGAATAAAGGGGAGCCTCTATTTGAAAAATAATAAAAGCAGGGCTGGGAAGGTGACTCAGTGGTAGAGTACCTGTCCGGCATGCATGAGGCCCTGGGTTCAATTCCTCAATACCACATAAGCAGAAAAAGCCAGAAGTGGAGCTGTGTGTAGAGCACTAGCCTTGAGCTAAAGAGCTAAGGGACAGAACCCAGGCCCAAAGTTTAGGTCCCATGACCGACAAAATAACAACAACAACAACAGTAATAATAAAGGCAAAAAGGGCTGGTGAGTGTGGTTTAAGTTGCGGAAGGATCGCCTGGCAAACACAAGCCACAAGGCCAAAGCCCTGTAATAGCAAATAAAAAAGGCATTTCTCAAGAAAGATACAACATGAGAACTCAGAAAGGAGTCAAAGGTCTTCTGACAATGCTTCCTTGCTATGCTTCCAATATGCTGAACCTGCCACTGAGCAGGACTATCCTTCACACTCCTTTACCCTGGGGAGCTCCGCTCTGCACCACTGACTTCTCTCCCTTCAAGGACAAAGCTCTGGGCTTGTTGAGCTTCTGGCACCCTACACATTAAGAAAGACACACTCATGGAAAAGACTTGACAAGCCTTTGTATGATTCAGCTCTGTATTTCTAATGGAAGCAGTACAATTATGTCATAAAGGCTGGAAAGGCAAACAGCCTCTTTCCATGATCCAAATGACCTTATGACCATGTTCATATTTCCACAGCTAACATGTTAAATCAAATGGGAGATAAAATAAGCAAACCAAGGAAATCTGTATCAGGCAATAAAGTCAAACAGTCACTCATCAACACTTCAGTGTATGCCATGCAGGTGGAGCCATTGCTAAGACACAGTAGATAGGACCCCAGCTAGAGAATCAGAGACTTGGAATGTCAAAGAAGTGACTTAGCCAGTTGCTGGTGGCTCATACCTGTAATCTTAACTACTCAAAAGGCTGAGATCTGAGGATCATGGCCCAAACACAGCTCCAAGAGATAACTCTCAGAAATAACACAAAAACAGAACTGGAGGAATGGCTCAAGTAGTAGAAAGCCAGCTGTGGGTAAAAAACTAAGCAATAGTGCAAGGCCCATAGGTCATTCCAGTTCTGGCAAAGAAAAAACAAAACAAAAACAAAGAGATGTAGGACACATATGGCAACAAGACTAGATGATGCCACTGACGACATATGAAAACTACCACAGCAGGCAGGTGTTGGAGCACAGGCCCAGAAAGCATTAGGCCCTGCCCATAAGGCAGCCCCATCAAAAACATAAAACAACAAAAACTCACCGCAGTGGATTAAAATGTATTAGGGACACCACCATCATGGTTAACCATCTTCAGTGCAACATTAGAGATTCCAGAACACTTTGAACACAACACATGAACCTGTTCCCTGTCAGGCTACAGGGAATGCCCATTGTCTTACCTACTGCGGCCAGGTTCCGGGGCTTCCTTGCCATCACATGACTGCAGAAGTTACGCTGAACTGTATCCTCCTGGGTGATGTTCACAGCCACATCCACAAAGTTCACAGAACCCTAAGCCATCACACACATGCTGGTTCAAACCACATAATCATTCCCCTGATTGGGGGTTGGGGGAGAAAGCAGGAGGGAGATAATCCCCCAATGCCTAAACATGTCAATTTCCTCACTGTCTAACCCAGGATTCCATGGGCCCAGGGGCTGACTCCTGTCTGTAACTGCCCTTTCTCCCTCTTCATTTTTCACCTTAGTCTTGTGGCTTTAACAGCAAAGCTCAAACATGAACCCAGCTCCCCACAGATAGGCACCTCTTTTTCACTTTATTTAACTCTTTCATTAAATACCTGGATATATTGTGTACATTTAATAAATGGCAATGGAAGTGGAGCTTGTGCCTCAAGAGGTAGAGTGCTAGACCTGAGCAAAAAAAAAAACAAACCTCAGGAACAGTGCCCAGACTCTGAGTTCAAGGCCCAGGACCAGCACAAAAATAAATAAATAAATAAATGGTGAAAGCCTGGAGCCAGTAGCTCACATCTACTCAGGAGGTTGAGATTTGAAGATCATGATTCAAAGCCAGCCCAGTCAAGAAAGTCCATGAGACTCTTTTTTTTTTTTGGCCAGTTATGGGGCCTGAACTCTGGGCCTGGGCGCTGTCCCTCAGCTCTTCAGCTCAAGGCGAGTGCTCTACCACTAGAGCCACAGTGCCACTTCCAGCTTTTTCTGCTTATGTGGTGCTGAGGAATCATGCATGCAAGGCAAGCACTCTACCACTGAGTCATCTTCCCAGCCCCCATGAGACTCTTATCTTCAATTAACCACTAGAAAACTGGAAATGGCAGAATGTCTCAAAGTGGTAGAAAACCGGGCACTGGTGGCTCATGCCTGTAATCATAGCTACTCAGGAAGCTGAGATCTGAGGATTGTGGTTCAAAGCCAGCCAGGGCAGCAAAGTCCATGAGACTTTTATCTCCAATTAAACATGAAGTGGTGCTGTGGCTCAAGTGGTAAAGCACTTGCCTTGAACTCTGCGCCCAGGCCCTGAGTTCAAGCTCCAGGACCAACAAAAAAATATATCTATTATCATGTGGTAGAGTGCTGTCCCAGACCATTTTTTTCTCCGGGACAGCACCCAGGCCCTAAGTTCAAGCCCCACAATCAACAAAAAAAATTAAAATAAAATAAATGGTGAATAATGGGTAAAATTGAGAAAAAATATTTCAACTTTATTACCACTTGAGGTAATTGAGCAAAACAAGAAACATCCACTTGAGACCATGAGAATCAGACTAATTAGTAATTACAAAAATGCTGTAGTGATTGTCAAGATAGTCTTTCGCCAGTGAAAGGTGGCACTCCCTGGTGGAATCCAAGGGAGGACTTGGTCCTTGCACAGGTTTCATTTCCTCCCATAGGCTTCAAAAGAAGTCTTTCTAGATGGAAAGGCATCTGTCTACACACCACATGCATGGACATCAGTTTATAGAAGGAAACAAGATCTTCATACCTGATTTTGTGAGCAGTCTGCCACTGTGCTGTTAGCCTCTGTCTCTTCTTCTTGACTACAGATTGGGTTCCCAGGAAGTAGAGCTTCTGGAAGAGAAAGACACACAACCCTCAGCTGATCAGAAGCCTGAATTCTCATACATGAACCTAATTCAACTCTAAATGAATATCTAATTAACTCATATATAATACTAGAGAAGTTCTGGGTTATACATGCAGCCAGAAAAAGTGATGGGGAGCTGTGCTGCCCAGCAAGAAAAGAATACAAGTATCATTTTAAAGGTAAGGAAAACTAAGACTTGTTTTGTGTGTGATGGTCCTGAGGCTTGAACTAAGGGCCTGGGCTCTGTCTCTGAGCTTTTCTGTTCAAGGCTTGCATTCTAGCCCTTGACCCAATCATCTACTCCTGGCTTTTTAATGATTAGTTGGAGAGCTTATGATAAAAGAAAAGATAGTGATACAGGAGAAGAAAAAAAAAAAACCAGACTTTCCTACCTGGGCTGGCTTTGAATCAGACCTCAGATCTCAGCCTTCTGAGTAGCTAAGATTACAGGCATGAGCTACAGGCACCTGAGTAGAAACCTGACTATTAATTTGCTTGTGGTGACAGATTGCAGCAATGAGATTATGCAGTGTCTCCTCCCAAAGCCAGCACAACCCGAGGGCAGAGGAACACAACAGCTCTCTCTGGCTCACTTCAGCACCCCCACATGGGCCAGCAGTACAAGTGCGTCAGCCTAGATATCTGAGCTCTAAAGCATGTAGAGGAGACCTCTAGAACTGGCAGTAACAGGACTCACCATGGGAGGAACTGGCATCATCCATCTTGTTAAGTCTTATAGGGAAACATGCATGACCGCACTCCTCTGTGGTTCCAAAGACACGTCACAGGTCTAAGTGGATAGTTACAATACCCCTTCCTTTTAAAGCAGGACTAGTTAGGATTCCTGTTGACATCAACATTAACACACAAGCATTACTCTGTAGTCAAGACACTAGACACTGACACTGGGCTGGTAATGCATGTGAAAGCCACAACATAACAATACACTCACAGCCCAGGACGATGGACACCATCGCCAATGCACTGCAAGTTACACTAAGAGCTTTGATATATGTATTTATATGTACATGGTTAGTTATATATAAATATTTTTAGTACTCCTTGGAACATTTAAAATCTATTTATCAAAACAAATTCCAAGAAATAGAAACATGGATTTTTGTTGGTGGTAGTAGTAGTGATGATGTTGTTTGCTTTACTCTAGGGTATTTTTTTTGTTTTTTGGTCTTCTTAGGGGGAGTTAAAGGGAGACACAGAAATGGAAGGAGGAAGAGGAAACAAATGACATTATGGTACTCAGTAGAGACTATGTGGAAAATGAACTAAGCATTTGTGGGGAGGAACAGGAAGGGGAAACTAGGGGAAAGCCAAGGAAGGGGTGACATTGTCCAAAAAGAATTGTACTCCTTGCCAGGCACCAGTGGCTCACACCTGTAATCCCAGCTACTCAGGAGGCTGAGATTTGAGGATCGTGGTTCAAAGCCAGCCGAGGCAAGAAAGTCTGTGAGATTTTTATCTCCAATTAACCACCAAAAAACCACAAGTGGTGCTGTGGCTCAAGTGGTAGAGCGCTCACCTTGAGCTGAAGAGCTAAGAAACAGCACCCAGGCCCAGAGTTCAAGCCCCATGATCGACAAAAAAAAAGAATTGTACTCCTTGCCAGACTTATGAAATGGTAACCCCTCTTCTGTACAACACCTTAATAGCAACAATAAAGCTATTATTTTATTATACTATTTACTTAATTACTCTATCATCCTTTCTCAAGACATATCATCATACAGCAATGAGAAACCTAGAATCAGAAAACATGAGTAACTCTTCCAATGTCACTATGATCCTCTGCATCTCAGCCTCCTGAATCCCTAAAACTGTTCCAATTTTGTCCACTTTGGTTCTCAAATTTCATCTTCTATGGCTGCCATTACACTCCAAAATAACCAAGTAACAGACTCAGGAAATGGCTACCTGAGTTACTTAAAACTGTTCACATTGTACTTTTGACAGTAGGGCATTTCAACCAGAATGTCAAGGTTTTACAAGTGGTAGAATGCCTATCAACCACTGTAGGGCATCACCAGAATACTAGTGCAGAAGGGCCAAGCACTCTGAGTTCTGCACAGTGCCCACAGTGGAAAGAAAACATCTGCACCAAAACAGTTTGCCAAACAACAATTATTTGCTGGTCTTCCAAATGAAACACTTTATACTATTACTAATGAGCTCTTTTTCCAGTGATTTCTGCTTATATTTTGGTGGTTTTGTTTTTACTTCTTCCTTTAAGATTTGGACTGCAAAAGAAATTTAAAAATGAAATAAAGAACATATAGTCACAGGGGATAAATGAAAATAGAATAAAGAAACTTTTTGATATTTATAGGAAAGTGATACAACAAATTCCTAATTTATATAGGACTTTAACAGGAACTAGAAATCTTTTGCTCTTTTTTGCCAATGCCAGGGCTTAAACTCATTACAGCTTGCTTGACTTGCTTGCTAATGGCTCACTACTTGAGCTATACCTCCAATCCAGCCTTCTGCTGGTGATCTTGGAGGTAAGAGTCTTCAGGACTTTTCTGCCCAGGCTGGCTTTGAACTATGATCCTCTAGATCTCAGCCTCCTGAATCCCTAAGAATTATATGTGTGCGCCCTCAGTGCCTAGCTAGAAACATTTTAAATGTGGAAGGCTATAGGCCTGCTCTATAGCACCACCACAAAAAAATGATAAGGCAAGACAGAGCAAAGAAAATCAAAGTCACAGTGAGCACCCTAAAGGCAAATGAGAAAAAGAAGCAAGTCACATGTGAGAGATTTCCAAAAAAAAAAGACTATGAGCAGACTTGTCACCCAAACTTTCAGGCCAAGACAGTGAGAGAATGCATAAATGGCTTTAGGAAAATACTGTCAAGTCATCATGCCAAATTTAGCAAAGCCATCCTTGAAAAATAAAAGAGTGAGGATGTAGCTCCACAGTAGAGTACTTGCCTGACATGCATGACACCCTAGGATTTATCTAAAGCAGAATGGGGAAATGGGGGTAAAAAACACATTTTTTTGTAATGGAAAAGTACATAGTTTAATTCAGGACATTTTAATACTGTAATCCTTAGCAAGAAAGATGAAAGTCAAAATTAAATGCTAATAAGCTATAATAATATATTAAGGGATATACAATATAAAGACATAATCACAAAATCAAATTCATAAAAATGCAAGGAAGTTGAGATAGGGGAATAGCTGGAGTGGTAGAGCACCTGACTACCAAATACAAGTCTACACCCAAGTACCACCAAAAAAAAAAAGGCTTAACATCGGTGTACTTATAAACACAAAGCAACATCCTACCAAAGATGCATACATAAAAGACAAACTCTTCCCTTGCATGCCTGAGGCCCTGGGTTCGATTCCTCAGTACCACATAAGCAGAAAAAGCTAGAAGTGGTGCTGTGGCTCAAATGGTAGAGCACTAGCCTTGAGCTAAAGAGCTGAGGGACAGCGCCCAGGACCAGAATTCAGGCCCCATGACTGACAAAAAAGAAAAGACATCAAAGCACATCCCTAATACCAAAAGGGCCAGGCATGATGGCTCACAATCCCAGCTGAGTAAGCAGCTCCAAGATTAGAAGGATGCAAATTCAACAGCAATACCTATTTCAACAAGAAAGACTTAACTGGTGGCAAAAACCTGTAATTCCAGTTACAAAGAGGCATAGGTAAGAGGATCACAGTCTGAGACCAGTTGAGAACCAAAATTTAAGACTTTACCCAAAAATTAATGAAAGCAAAAGAGCCTTGGGGTAGGGGCTCAGTGGTAGAAAACATACACACACACACACACACAGGGGCTCAATGGTAGAAAACACACACACACACACACACACACACACACACACACACACACACACACACACACACACACACACACACACACACACACACACACACACACACACACACACACAGTCATGAACAACAGAATCAGTATCATGTCATACCTGTGGTCCTGGAGGAAGATGGGTATGGTGAGGATGTTGGCTCCAAAGACTGTGTGTGGTAAGAACAGTGTCCCTATGGCAGCCCAAAGAAGAGGAACTATGTCCCTTTCGTGGTAGAGTCACGCTGCATCCAAGGGGCTGTCAAAATAGGCAATAAACAGAGTAAGTCAGGCAATGTATAGGAGCAAAATACCATCTGTTGACTACCCAGATACAGAATTGTAGTGACAATGAATTCTGGACTTGGGGACCTCATGAATAGAATTACAACATTAAAGTTGCAGAAATACACTATTAGCACCATTAACTTACGTATTTATTTTCAGATTTAACAACTTATAATGACAGATGAACAGATGAATAAACTGTGGAGATATTATTAGTTTGGGGTTTTTTCTTATTTTTTCATTGTACTAGTCCTGGGGCTTGAATTTAGGGACTGGGCACTGTCCCTGAACTTTTGTGCTCAAGACTAGTGCTCTCTATCACTTAAGCCACAACTCCACTTCCAGTTTTTAGGTGGTTAATTGGAAATAAGTCTAACAACTTTCCTGTCTAGGCTGGCTTCAAGCTGTGATCCTCAGATCTCAGCCTCCTGAGTAGTTAGGACTACAGGAGTAAGCCACTGAGCCTGGTTTTTGCTTTGTCAGTCATAGGATTTGAACTCAGAGCCTGGTGCTGTCCCTGAACTTTCTTTTTCTTTTTTCCATTGGTCGTGGGGCTTGGACTCTGGGCCTGGGCACTGTCCCTCAGCTCTTCAGCTCAAGGCTAGTGCTCTACCAGTTGAGCCACAGCACCACTTCCAGTTTTCTAAGTGGTTTAATGGAGATAAGAGTCTCACTACTTTCCTGCCAGGGCTAGATTTGAACCACAATCCTCATATCTCAGCCTCCTGAGTAACTATGATTACAGGCGTGAGCCACCACACCAGGCCTGTCCCTGAACTCAAGACTAGCATTCTACCACTTTGAGCCACTATTGGTTTTTGAGTGGCTCATTGGAGAGAAGTCTCATGCACACTTTTCTTCCTGGGCTGGCTTCAAACTAAGATCCTCACATTTCAGCCTCCTGAGTGATTACAGACATGAGCCACCAGCAACCAGCTTGTTTTTAACACTTAATCCTTTAAGATCTTGTTTTAATTTACAATGGACAATATTAACTGCTTTAATCAAGCCTCCAGGAGATCAAAAAGTCAAATACAATTCACAAGAATTTACCTTAAATTATTTTTACTACATCTGAGCACATATGAGAACTATTTGGGGACAGTGATCATTGTTACTATAAGAAACAACAGATGCTGGGCACTGGTGGCTCACGCCTATAATCCTAACTACTGAGGAGGCTGAGACCTGAGGATTTCAGATCAATGGCAACCAAAGAAAGTCCATGAGATTCTTAACTCCAATTAACCACCAAAAAGCCCAAAGTGGAACTGTGGCTCAAGCAGTATAAGACCAGTTTCCCCCCTGTTATATTAGCTACATTTTTAGAAATAAAAGAGAAACAATGTTCAATGTGGTACTCCAGGTGTTAACTATATTCTCAATCCCAATACCAAAGATCACCTTTTGTTCTTGGGGCCTTTTTTTTTTTTTTAAGTCAGTCGTAGAGCTTGAACTCAAGGCTTGGGCACTGTCCTTGAGCTCCTTTGCTCAAGACTAGCACTCTACCACTTTGAGACACAGCTCCACTTCTGGTTTTTGAGTGGTTAATTGGCGATAAGAGTCTTATAGGGACTTCCCTGCCAAGCTTGGCTTTGAACCATGACCCTCAGATCACAGCCTCCCAAGTGGCCAGGATTACAGGCATGAGCCACTGGCACCCAACTCTTGATGCCTTTATAAAATGCTCAAAGGGACTAGATGCCCATTTTACACAGTGCCCTTTTATCTTCTGTCATATATCAACTTCCTACATAAATCTGGATTTCCAATGAGCTCAAAGTATACAACATCTTTATTTTTCCTACATATAACTTGCCAGATATTAAGTTCACATTATCTACATTAAAATATGGATAACCTACTTAATGTACTTCTACTTCATCTACTGGGATCTAGAGGGTTGATATTAAATTACTAACTGATCTAGGGCTACCATTATCTTTGCTCCACATGGCATCTGCCCAGCAAGCAGCTTACGGTTCCTTCCTCATCATCCTTGGGCTCTAAGCCACCTAGGGTGGGCAGTCTTCCTCTTCTCCCTCCCCTGCCTTTTCTTTACTTTCCACAGGATCTAGCTAGATAGGCAAGGCTGTGCACCGCTACACCAGCTTTTCTGTTGGATTGGTTTTTGCCACCTTTCTATCTAGGTGCTTTGCTTCTGTCTGAGGTAAGAGGGAAAAGGGGGAGTGCCAGGTGCCTTGTCACCCTCTCCCTCCTTTGGAGGGCCCCTCCCACAGGATGGTTTATTCCTTCTTTCTGTTCTTATTCTCTCATGCCCAAGACCTTTTACAACACACTAAAAGCTGAGGTTCCCTCTAGGTGGCTGATTTCTTACATCTAGCTGCTTAGCTCTTAGTTCTCCCTAAGCAGCTAAACCAGCTGCCCTCCCTGAAGGGCTTTTAGTAATCTCACAGGACTGGACTTCACACCTAGGAAAGCAACGGGGACCTCACTTTCTCTCTTTAAACCCTGACCCTCCGTCTCCCCCCTTACCCCATTCCATTTTTTCCTTTCCCTTTTCTTTTCTTTCTTTTAATTTAATGGGTGGTACCAGCCAGTCCATCCTGGATAGGATCTGTCATCACCTTGGAGCTACAAAGCTGGGGAGACAATGAGCAATGACAGGATATAGCCGGGAAGCATGCACTGCTGGAGGCTGACCATCTTGGCTGGAACACATGCCTGCTCTACACATGGCTGAGCTCTGCAGGCGCTGCCATCTGTGCCTCACAAAAGCCTCGCCCACAGCCACAGCATCACACAGCTGATTCTCACTAAGGAGCCCTTGGCACTAAGGGGAAGGGCGCTGGTGGAGCACTGTCCAATCACAACCTTCCTCCTGGCAGAAGCAGCTCATCTAATGAAAGCAGGACAGCTCAGGCACAGGGCCAGGTGGAGATGATCCTGAGAGAACAGTATTCTGTAGTACAACCAGATCTATGCTTTGAACAGGACAACTTCCCATGGTTCTGGCCAGCTCAGCCCAATTTTTTTTTTAATTTTTTTTGTCCGTCATAGGGCTTGAACTCTTGGCCTGGGCACTGTCCCTCAGCTCTTCAGCTCAAGGCTAGCACTCTACCACTTGAGCCACAGCTCCACTTCTGGTTTTCTGAGTGGTTTAATGGAGATAAGAGTCTTACTACTGCTGGGCGCCGGGCGAGGTGGCTTGCGCCTGTAATCCTAGCTACTCAGAAGGCTGAGATCTGAAGATCACCGTTCAAAGCCAGCCGGTGCAGGAAAGTCCATGAAACTCTTATCTTCAACAAACCACCCAAAAACCGGAAGTGGTGCTGTAGCTCAAGTGGTAGAGCGCTAGCCTTGAGCTGAAGAGCTGAGGGGCAGCGCTCAGACCCAGAGTTCAAGCCCCATGACTGACCAAAAAATAAAAAATAAAAAAAGAGTCTCACTGCTTTCTAGCCCGGGCTGACTTTGAACCCGATCCTCAGATCTCAGCCTCCTGAGTAGCTAGGATTATAGGCATGAGCCACTAATTTCTTTTTTTTTGGGTCCAGTCGTGGGGCCTGAACTCTGGGCCTGGGCACTGTCCCTCAGCTCTTCAGCTCAAGGCTAGCATTCTAGCACTTGAGCCACAGCGCCACTTCCGGCTTTTTTCTTTTTGCTTATGTGGCGCTAAGGAATGGAACCCAGGGCCTCGGGCATGCAAGGCAAGTGCTCTATCTACCACTGAGCCACCTTCCCAGCCCCTCAGCCCAATTTCTTTAGGTCTGAGAATGACAGGTGAAGGTGAAACTGGCTAGACCAACAAGAATGTTGTTTCTACTTCCAGCCACTCAGAGCACTGCAGGTTTACAGATCTTAGACTCTAATGGGGAAAGACTCCTCTCCCCAACCCTACCCCACACCACCCAATTAGTAGTTCCAACACATTAGAGGATGAGATTGCCACTTGGCCATGAGTGTCATGTAGCAATAAACCAAGAAGGGAAAAGGGGGAGAAGGGGAAATCTACTAGCTGAAATTCTCTATCCCATTGAAGGGAAACCACAGTACTATACAACCTTCTAGACCTTCTATGGTGCATAGTCCAGGCTAGGGGAAACATATAACTAAAGACAGACAGGATAACAGTGTTAGACCTTTAACAGGAAAGGTATAGGCATGGAGCAGCTCAGGTTCTAACTAAGGACAAGAGAAATATGGAAATGACCACTGAAGTAATGAATCATGGAGGAGCACTGTTGACTCATACCTTTAATACAAGCTACTCAGAAAGATGAGATCTGAAGATCAAGGTTAGAATACATTACCAAAAGAAAAGTCCATAAGATTCTTATCTCCCAACTAACCAGCAAAAGGCCAGAAGCAGAGCTGCGGCTCAAGTGGTAGAGCACTAGCCTTGAGCCTAAAAGCTAAGGCACAGCATCCAGGCCCTGAGTTCAAGACCCAAAGTCCCAGGACTGGCATACATACACAAAAACAGAAGAGTGAAACAATCTGGTTTTTTTGTTTTGTCGGTCATGGGGCTTTTACTCTGGGACTGGGCGCTGTCCTCAGCTCTTCAGCTCAAGGTGAGTGCTCTACCACTTGAGCCACAGCTCCACTTCCACTTTCCTGCTCGGGCTGGCTTTGAACCGCAATCCTCAGATCTCAGCCTCCTGAGTAATAGGATTACAGGTGTGAGCCACCAGCAGCCGGCAGAGTGAAAAAATCTGGTGGGGATGTCAACACCAGTGGGAGGGAAGGTCTAAGAGAGGGTGAATGAGTATAAACAAAGTAGCTTATTTACATGCATGGAAATAGAATAATGAGACCTGCTGTAATTGTTTTAAGAAGATGGAGTAAGGGAGAATAAGGAGGTAAATTTGATCAGGATACATTGTACATGCACATAGAATATCACAATAAAGGGGCTGGGAAGGTGGCTCAGTGGTAGAGCGCTTGCCTTGCATGCCTGAGGCCCTGAGTTCGATTCCTCAGCACCACATAAGCAAAAAGAAAAAAGCCGGAAGTGGCACTGTGGCTCAAGTGGTAGAGCGCTAGCCTTGAGCTGAAGAGCTGAGGGATAGCGCCCAGGCCCAGAGTTCAGGCCCACGACTGGACCAAAAAAAAAAAAAAAGAATATCACAATCACAATAAAACCCTTCATGTACAATTAATACATGCTAATAAAGAAAAAAAAAACATGGATATTGCCAAGTCATCTGGCTCCTTAGAAGCTAACTGTTCCAAGATGCCAGTTTTCTTCTCATTTCCTTATGGAATTATTATTTGAGGGCCAGTCCTAGGACTGGAACTCAGGGCCTAGGTACTTTCCCTGAGGTTGTTTTTGCTCAAGGCTATGCTCTACCACATGGGTCATAGCTCTACTTCCAGCTTTTTGGTGGATAGCTAGAGAGGAAAGCCTTATGGACTTTGCTGCCGAGGATGGCTCTGAACCTCCATCCTTGGATCTCAACCTCCTGGGTAGCTAGGATTACAAGAAAGAGCCACAGGCACCAGCCCTATCGAGTTGATTTGAACTCCCTAGATGTATGACCCTATTTTTCAGTGCTCAACTTCTGTTTTGAATTCCTCAAATTAATCTCCTACATGAGCTGAAGACACTCATACTATTTCATTTTGATTCGTCTTAATTCAATATATATGCATGAGTTTTCCTGTTAAATTATATAGAGTAATACATTCATTCCACCTGTTTTCTGAAATGTAGAAAATAACTCTTGGCATAACCTGAGAGCATGCCTGGACACATTCATCCCCTTGTCTACCTAGAAATATAATCAGTCACGCCAGGCGCCAGTGGCTCACACCTGCAATCCTAGCTACTCAGGAGGCTAAGATCTGAGGATCCCAGTTCAAAGCCAGACCAGACAGGAAAGGCTGTGAGACTCTTATCTCCAATAAACCACCAGAAAACCGGAAGTAACCCTGTGGTTCAAGTTGTAGACCACTAGCTTTGAGCTGAAGAGCTGAGGGAGAGCGCCAGGGCCCAGAGTTCAAGCCCCACCACTGACAAAAAAAAAGAAAGCAGCAAACAAAGGAACAAAGAAATACAATGAGTTCAGAATATTTTATATAATAACTATAATAAATAAATCAGAAATATAATCCTTTTCTCCTTCTGCTTCCCTTGCAACATGGCTAATTCCTACCACTTCTATTTGGGGCCCTGTCTTAATCATTACTCTCTCCTTAGCTTTACCTATGTCCACATGAAGAGCACAAAACCATCCTCTACTCTAAGAAACTCCTCCATTTGTAATAATGCATTTATTTGCCTGGATAGATGCCAAACCTCCTCCACACATTTATAAACTTCCTAAGAACAATTCTAGATTGAATTTATTCTTCATGCCTTCACCATTTTGGCAATCATAAAGTAAGTACAAGAAATGAAGGGAACATTTAAGCACACCAAAATACAAGAAATATTTTTTTTAAAAGATGATTTTCTGAAAAAAAAAAATTCATGACCGATACAGTGGCTCATGCCTGTAACTACTTGGTAGGCTGAGATAGGGAGAACTACAGCTCAAGGCTACCCAACAAAAAGTTCCTGAGACCTCCTTCATGGTGTCACACACCTGTATCCTAACTGTGAGGAACACAAACAGGTGAACCATGGTCCAGGAAGCAAGAGTCTATCTTAAAATTAATCACTACAAGCCTGGCACCGATGGCTCATGCCTGTAATCCTAGCTACTCAGAAGGCTGAGATATGAGGATTGAGGTTCAAAGCCAGCCAGGACAGGAAAGTCCTTGAGATGCTTATCTCCAGTTAACCACCAGAAAACGGGGAGTGGCTCTGTGGCTCAAGTGGTAGAGTGCTCACCTTGAGCTAAAGTGCTCAGGGACAACACCGAGGCCCAGAGTTCAAGTCCCATGACAGACAAAAAATAATAATCATCATCATCAGTACAAAAGGGCTGGAAGCCAGGCACTGGTGGCTCATACCTGTAATCCTAGTTACTCAGGAGACTGAGATCTGAGGATCACGGTTCAAAGCCAGCCCAGGCAGGAAAGACCATGAGACTCCTATCTCTAATAAACCACCAGAAAACCAGAAGTGGCACTGCAGCTCAAGTGGAAGAGCGCTCGCCTTGAGCTGAAGAGCTGAGAGACCGTGCCCAGGCCCAGAGTTCAAGCCCCATGACCGACAAAAAAAAAGGCTGGAGTTATGGCTCAGCAGAATGAACACCTAGCAAGTATGAGATAGTTTAAACCCCACCCCACCCCCCCCAAAAAAAAAAACTCAACATAGCACTTGTTGTGCTCAAGGACAAATTAAAACCACAGCACCACCACCACCCTCTCAAGAAAAAGACAATGAAAAAAGCCATCAGATCAAAAGCTTCTAACAAAGAATTCCAAAGAGATATTCTGGAGGAAAGAAAACATTTGCTGCTGCAAAAATCAGTTGAAAGATGTATTTATTCATGTATGACAATATTGAGACTTAAACAGGCTGGGAGTTGTCCCTTAAGCTTTTTTGCTCAAGGCCAGTGCATGACCACTTGAGACACAGCTCCACTTCCAGCTTTTTGGCAGCTAATTGGAAATAAGACCCATCGATTATCCAGCTCAGACTGATTTCAAACGGAAATCCTCAGATCTCAGGATCTAGGATCACTAGTGTGAGCCACCTGCACCAGCTCACAGATGCCATTTTCTATTACAGAACCTATCAAATAGTTTATCACAGAATGAGAGTGTATGTAGCTCTGTACTTGAGCTCCATACATGAAGCCCGGGATTCACTCCCTAGCATAGAGAGAAAAATGTTCTCCAAAATGAATAGAACTAGAGATCATCATGCTAAGCAAAAGAAGCCAGGCTCACAAACACAAAAATCATTGTTTTCCCTCATATGTGGAATCTAGATAAAACAACTGAATGATGACTGTTTGGGCAGAGGGGAGAAGACACAAAAGAGCAATGAGAGTGAAATGGCTGAAGCGTATCATAAGCATGGATAATGAAACCCACTATCTCATACAACAATGATACATTGGTGATACATTGGTATTTTAGGTTTTTGGCCAAGCAATAAACTATCTTCACACCTAACTACTCAGGAGGCTGAGATCTGAGGATCACAGTTGGAAGCCAGCCTGGGCAGATAAAAATCTGAGACTAGCCAGGTGCAGGGGTTCACGCCTGTAATCCTAGCTACTCGGGAGGCTGAGATCTGAGGATCGTGGTTCAAAGCCAGCCCGGGCAAGAAAGTCCATGAAACTCTCATCTCCAATAAGCCTCCAGAAAACCGGAAGTGACACTGTAGCTCAAGTGATAGAGAGCTCGCCTTGAGCTGAAAAGTTGAGGGATAGTGCTCAGGCCCAGAGTTCAAGCCCACGACCGACAAAAAAAGAAATCTGTGAGACTCTTCATCTCCATTCAATGAGCCAGCAAAAAGCCAGAAGTGGAACTGTGGCTCCAGTAGCAGAGCACCAGCCTTGAGGGAAAAATGCTAAGGGACAGGGCTCAGGCCTTGAGTTCAAGCCCCAGTTCCAGAACCAAATAAAGTTGTTTAAGCATTTTTCTTGAAGACTGTATATGATCAAAGGTAGCAAAACTAGGCCATTATCCTTGAGTTTCGAGTCTGGTTTTGAAGCTCTATGGGGAAGTATATTCTTTTGTTGTGTTATTTTGGGCTGGTCCTGGGACTTAAACTCAGGGTCTGGGCACTGTCCCTGAGCTGTTTTACTCAAGACTAACACTCTAACACCTGAGCCAAAGCTCCACTTTCAGCTTTTTGGTAGTTCATAGTACTTAAAAGAGTCTCTTTTGCAGGTTGGCATCTAATCACGATCCTGAAATCTTCAGCCTCCTGAGTAACCAAGATTAGCGGTGCAAGCCACCAGCACCAGGCTTCTTTTCTAAAGAGTATGTCTATCAATTTTATAATAACAACGAAAATTTTTTTAATTGAAATTAAAAGAAAGTATATCCACCCTAGAAAACTATTTAAAAAATCTTTCTACCAAATGTAAACGTAAACATATGACAATGCAAAAACAAAGTCAAATTCAAAGATAATACCTGCATTAGTAAATAGCAAGACTGGAAACACCAAATAAATCTTCTGGAACTAAGTCCTTCCCCTTCCCCATGCCCTGCTCACCCGGCGGGGACTGAAGGTAACTGACAGGCGCCAGGATCGCGGGGTCTGTGGAGGGTCGTCAGAGCCCCACTCTTGCGGCAGAAGTTCTTTGTCTATTGGGGAGAAGAAAAAGAAAGAAAAAATTACTACAGAGAGGTTTTTGATGCAGCAACCCATATGCAGGAAATGACCCCGAGGGCACGCCCTGAAGAAGTACAACCACAGGGCACCGCTGGGCAGCACCTTCCAAGAGCAATGGTCCTAACCCGGGGCCGGTGGCTCCCGCCTTGAAATCACAGCCACTCAGGAGGCTGACGTATGAAGATCGAGGTTCGAAGCCAGCCGGGGCCAGAAAGTCCGTGAGACTCTTTATCTCCAATGAGCCACCAAAACGACGGAAGTGGAGCTATGGCTCAAGGTGCTAGAGCGCTAGCCTTGAGTGGAAATAAAGGCTCAGAGACAGCGCCCAGGCCCTGAGTTCAAGCCCCAGGACCGGCACCCAAAAGAGAGAGACAGAGACAGAAAGCCGTGGCCCGAATGGCGCGTCCAGGCCCCGGAAGCACGGAACGGACCAGGCCGCTCTCCAGAGTCTCCTCGGCGGCTTGGGAAAACTTCTCCACCCACTACCCACCTCCACCTCCGCGCCGTCCCCTCGCCCAAACTCACCAAAGTCGTTCCAGCCAAACCTTCCCTTACCCCGGAGGGGGGGGAGAAAAAGAAGGAACTCGGCCGCGCGAAGCCCAACCGGAAGAGACGGGGAGTCGCCGTCTGCGGCGTCACTTCCGTCCCCCGAGCTCCGGACCGGAAGTGCTCCCGTTGGGGGCGGGACCTCAGCGGCGTCGGGTGCTGTCGCGCCAATTTCTAGCTTTCTCCCGAATGGAGGCCGATTGGTGGCCCGCAGGGTGGGGGGGAAGAAGTCATTCCCAAGGACCAACCAGGTTCGGATTACTACCACGCTTCTGAGCGACGGCGGAGTCGGAGGTGGGACCAGACCCAGCGCGTGTCTCTTTGTTTTGGTGGTGGTTGGGGTTTTTTAATGCTGATCCCTGGGGTGTCTCTCTCTCTCTCTCTCTCTCTCTCTCTCTCTCTCTCTCTCTCTCTCTCTCTCTCTCTCTCTCTCTCTCTCTCTCTCTCCCTCCCTCCCCCTCCCTCCCTCTCCCTCCCTCTCCCTCCCTCCCTCCCTCCCTCTCCCTCCCCCTCCCTCCCTCCCTCCCTCCCTCCCTCTCCCTCTCCCTCCCCCTCTCCCTCTCTCTCTTTCTCTCTTTCTCTCTCCTTAAGGCTGGTACTCTGCCACCAGTTACAGCTCCACTTCTGGCTTTTTGGTGCTTCCATGAAGGTAAGAGTTTCACAAACTTTCCTGCCCTGGCTGGCTTTGCACTTCGATCCTCAGATCTCAGCCTCCTGTGTAACTAGGATAAACAGACGTAACCCACCAGCCCCTGACTATAATATATTACTTTTCAAAATATTTAGACCTTTCATCCTTGTGTGAATGATTTTGGTTTGTTGTGTGAGCAGTGGATCCAATTTCTTTTAATCCCTCCAGAAAGATAAGCAATCAATGAAACCTTTGACTTACTAATTTAAAATGCCATGAGTAGGCAGTACATTCCTACATATACAGTTACTCTCCCCTATCTTATCCTAAATGATCAAACCAAATTCTGTTCCAACCCTAATATTGTTTACCTTTGAAGATTCTTTATCTTTCTGGACTGTAAACTAAAAGTTTTTCCTCTGCTGGCCTAGCAGGGACTGATTGGATCTGCCTGCCTGAATGCCAAACAGATGGTTGCCATGGCAACCGGAAAGAACCATAAAAGTAGTAACAAAGACTCTTTGTCACCTAGAATTTTGGTAGACAATACATTTAATCTGTAGAGCAACTTGGGGGTTATTGCCACCTTAATAATATTAAGTAATCCAATCCATGAACATGGACTTCCTTTCCATACCTGATGTTTTATTTTTCTTGTTTTTAATTTTTATCTTGGCTGTACAAGCATGTGAATTCAGGGCCTCATGCTTGATAGTCAAGTGCTCTACCACCTGAGCCATATCCTAGCCCAACAGTTGTCTTTATTTCATGGGCATTTTGTGATGGTCAACATGTAAATCCTGCACATATCTTTTAATAAATTTATTCCTAGTAGTTTTATGTTTATTATCTGTAGAATCATTCTTTTGTTTTGGGGACAGAGTTGGACAGGGTTACATTATGTACCCCAGGGTACTCTAGGAATCACTGTGTAACCCAGTGTCTGGCAAGATTTGTTTTAGTGCCAACCCTGAGGCTTGAATTCAGGGCCTAGGGGCTATCCCTGAGCTTCTTTTGCTCAGGACTGGCACTCTACAACTTGAGCCACAGTTCTGCTTCCAGCTTTTGTTGTGGTTAATTGGAGACAAGAGCCTCACTGATTTTCCTGCCTAGGCTAGCTTCATACTTGGGTCCTCAGATCTCAGCCTCTTGAGTAGCTAGGATTACAGGCATGAGCCTCTGGCACCTGGTATGAATGTACTTTTTTTTATTTTTTTTTTTTTGTTTATATGGTACCAAGGAATTGAACCCAGGACCTCATGCTTGTTAGGCAAGCACTCTACCACTAAGCCACATTCCCAGCACCTTGAATGTACTTTTTTAACTGGGCAGTTTGCCAGTTCAGTTCAGCTTACAAGATACAATCAACAAGCCAGGTTCCAGTAGCTCATGTCTGTCATCTAGACTGTACTGCCTGAAAGGACTCATCTTTCACACTTGAGTTCTCAAGGTCAATGTTACATCTCACTGCCATTAAAAGACTTCTTGGATGCTAGGGTCAAGAAAAGGGGGGAAACAATCACTTCAGCATTGATGACTCTTTGTTCCATTGAACATATGATAATAACCAAAGAAACACACACATATATTACATGCTACAAAGCCTCTGTAACTAAAACTATGTGGTACCAACACGTGGCAAAGAAACAGAGGAGTGAAATTTCTAGAAATCTACCCAAGAACACATACCTATAATCTCAGCACTGGAGAGGGTGAGGCTGGAGGATCATGAGCTCCAGGCCAGACTGGGCTAACAGACTCTGAGAGAGAGAGAAAGAGAGAGAGGAGGGGGGAGAGAGAGAGAGGGGAGAAAGAAAAGGGAAGGAAGGAAGGAAGGAAGGAAGGAAGATGCCGGTGCCAATGGCTAACACCTGTAAGTCTAGCTACTGAGATCTAAGATTGCCGTTCAAAGCCAGCATGGGACAGAAAAGTCTGTGGGACTCTTAATCTCCAATTAACCACCAGAAAGCTGAAAGTGGAGCTGTAGCTCAAGGAGTAGAGCACTAGCCTTGAGCACAAATGCTTTTGGACAGCACCCAGGCCCTGAATTCAAGCCCCAGGACTGGGTGCACGCGCGCACACACACACCACACAATCTACACCTGATGACACATACAATAAACTCCAAATGCATCAGAGGTCTAGATGTGGGGGGAAAAAAATCTATGTAGGGAAGTCAAGCGATTTCTTGTCTAGTTAATAAAGATATGCCCAGTAGATGGCAGTAGCACACAAGCTTTATTTGGACAGAGCTTTGACCCAAGCTGCGGTTAGATCCTGATGGGATCTATCCGTCCACAGGCTTTGACTTGGAAGTCAGGACTCAAAAAGGGACTAGGGGATAGAACTCAGCAGAGAAAGGATTCAGGAGGGAGCTTTTATAATTACGCTCAACAATTTCATAGGGAGCTTCTGGGTCAGAAAGACTGGAAAGGCATCAGACACATGGGGGTTTATAACTGCAGAAATTATTTTATTAAAGGCTAGTAGTATTGGGCTATATAAAGGGATCTACAAAGCAAGTGCTCTATGCATGGCACTGGTGGTTCATGCCTATAATCCCACTTAGGAGGTTCAGACAAGGATCACGGTTCAAAGCAAGCCTGGGCAGGAAAAGCCCATGAGACTCTTATCTCCAATTAACGACCACAAAACTGGAAGTGGCGCTGTGGCTCAAAGTGGTAGAGTGCTAGCTTGAGCAAAGGAGCTCATAGACAGCACCCCAGCCCTAAGTTCAAGCCCATGACCAATAAAAAAATAAATTTGTTTGAGCCATTTCAAATGATAAGGTATTATAAATAATGGTGCTGTGAACATTGCTGTGTCTTTTTTGTGTTTTGCTCTCAGTAGTTTGGAATCACTAGATCATGTATTTGTTGTTTTATTTATAACAGACCTTGGGTTTGAACTCAGGGCTTGGACACTGTTCCTTAACTTTTTTGCTCAAAGCTGGTACTCTACCACTTGAGCCACACATCCACTTCTGGTTTTTTTGCGGGGTGTCTGGTCGTGGGGCCTGAACTCTGGGCCTAGTGCTGTCCCTCAGCTCTTCAGCTCAAGGCTAGCGCTCTACCACTTGAGCCACAGCGCCACTTCTGGCTTTTTTTCTTTTTGCTTATGTGGTGCTGAGGAATCGAACCCAGAGCCTCATGCATGCAAGGCAAGCACTCTACCACTGAGCCACCTTCCCAGCCCCAAAAAAGTCTTTTTTTTTCCTTTTTTTTGTCGTGGGGCTTGGACTTTGGGCCTGAGCACTGTCTCTCAGCTCTTCAGCTCAAGGCAAGCGCTCTACCACTTGAGCTATAGTGCCACTTCCAGCACTTCTGGATTTTTAGTGGCTAACTGAAGATAAAAAGTCTCATTGACTTTCCTGCCCAGGCTGGTTTTGAACCTTGATCCTCAGATCTCAGCCTCCTGAGTAACTAGGATTACAGGTTAAACCACCAGCACCTGACTGAGACTCTTATCTCTAATTAACCTTCAAAAAGCAGGAAGTGGCACTGTGGCTCAAGTGGTAGAGCACAAGCCTTGAGGAAAAAAAAAAAAAAACCACGGCACAGGGCCCAGACCCTGAGTTCAAATCCCAGGACTGGCATAAAAAAAAAAAAGTACATGTTATCATTTGGCTTTTGTTTCCAACAAAGGGACCTAAAACTCGATCACTGATTGAGCTATAGCAGTAATTCCTAGAAGCCAACTTGAGTCTGCACTTACAGAGCTCAGTTCTCATTCCTGTTGGTCAAAGCAAATCACAAGACCAGCTCACATAAAAGGGGAAAGGAAACAGACTACCCCACCTTCTTGTTTTTAGAGACTAGGACTCACTCGTATCCTGGGCTGAACTGGAATTCTCAATCCTCCTCCTGCCTCAGCATCTCAAAGTGCTGAGATTACAAGCATGCAGTACCACACTCCTCCTTCAGATGCAAGTTACCACAAGAATTGGTGTCTGTAATCTCTCTCAAGATATGCTGGTCTGTCAAGGGGTGTATTGTTTTTCCAATTTGATCTGTTTAGTGGATTCTGTGAGGACATACATGTGAGTATGCAGGTGTGCTAGAAAAGAATGATGGGCATCTATGCAAAGAGTCTAGTGCACTTGGTCAGAAAGACACAAATATTTTTAAGACTTACATTGTTAAAATGAATTTAATGGCTTAGGGAAGCAACTAAAAGAAAAATAACGGAGTCTGTAAGTTTCAAGCATCAGGAATACAATATCAAGGAAAAATATTACCACAGAAAGGAGTCCAGTGAGACAAATGCAGGAAAAGCAAGACGGTACAAATTAATCCAGATTTATTACTGATTACAATATATGTCATGGACTAAGGTCTTCAGGTAAAAGGATGGTTAGTTGGGAATTTTTCAAGTACTTAGAAGTTTTTGAAGTCAAACTAAAGTATGTATAGAAAGA